GACAATCTCCTCCTGTACCAGTCAGATCTGATTTGACGGTACACTCACACAAAAATAATAAAACAAAATTTTTTTAAAAAATAAAAAAATAAATACTATAGTTCATTTTACATGTTCAACTCACTTCTATTCCCCTGTTTCAATGGGTATGTAGTGTCCTGAGACATTTAATTTCTGTCTCTGTCTGTAGATAACATTCAGTTCTTGTTTATTTATGTCAAAACTGTAAATTTTTCTTTTACTGTAAGAAATAATTAGAGTCAATTATTTCTAATGGACTTTTAAGTATAATTCTTTGACACAACATTTAATTTAAGATTGGAAATTTTACTCTTGAACTATAATTTGGGGTTATTTTGAACAATAAAATATTTCTTTGATTGTTCTCTTATTTTTGATAAGCAGAGTGACTATAATAAATCCTGATCCTGTCTTTGGTCTGGATACTTAGTAGCTTTGTATTTGTTTTCTTTGATAGCACATGCATTAATATTTATGACCACTTTCCTTTGCAGCATCTCCCAGATGGCTCTGTGCCCAGTGCACATGTTGAATTTTATCTTTTACCATATCCCAGTGAAGTTCGCAGAAGGAAAACAAAATCTGTTCCAAAATGTACTGACCCCACTTACAATGAAATTGTAAGTATGATTCATCTCTTTGTCCAGTCATTTTATATTTTTCTTACCATTTTTCAGCATAACAACCGAATATGAAGACTATATGGTAATTGGCAGCATTATTTCACATGGGAAAGGTATTTGCAAAATAACCACTGTCTGCTGATCACAGTTCTAGATTCTATGGGAAATGGAAATGACAGGTATTTTTTTCAAGGTGCTTGTGAAGCAATTTGTAATTTGTGACTAACCTCCAGTATGAATCCTAGTCTTAATGACATTTGTTTTGCATACTAACTTTATCTCTGACTTCATCTTGTTTTTCCTAAACTTATTTTCCTTTGCCTGATTTAATTTACTCAATGTTATTTATCATAGTCTACTGTGTGTAACGGTTTCTCTCATAAAATCCCTTTTGGAAAAATCAACCAAAAAAATGAAAAGTTGAAATTAAGTTAAAATTAATTTACGTTAGAAACAACTTTCTAATTTATTTAAACATCCAAGTCTCTGTTTCTCCACAGCATATACTCCTCTGCTTAGTCTCTTAGTTCCATACTTTGCCATTTCCTCTGGCCTTATTCAGCCAGTTACTTGCCAGCTTTTGCTTTTTTCTCACTGGGACTTTGACTTAAAAAAAAAAAATAATCCTATGCATTTTCTTAATGGACTCAAATGTTTTGCACCTCCTTATCATCTCCAAACTTTTTCCAAAATTTATTTATATCTCCTGCTTTCACAATACTGTGTTATTAAGGGAGCATCAATAAACTCCCAGTTACCAAATCCAAGAATTCCTCTCAGGATCTCTGGTGGCTTAGTGGTAAGAAATTGTACTGCCAACCCAAAAGTACATGATTCAAATCCACCAGATGTTCTGCAGGAAAGGCATGGACAATCTCCTATCATGTGACTTACTGCCTCTGAAAACCCACTGGGGGCTCAGCTATGGTCAGTTCCAACTCGATGGTACACAGCAACAACAACTCCTCATGTTCTTCTCCCAGACAGCTATAGAGTGTTCCATACTTCTGACTATTCAATGTTTCTTAAAACTTTATTACTACTGTAGTTCTCTTTTACCTTCTTTCATCAGTCTTTTATTTTCTTCCTCTTAAAATGTCATTCACTGAAGTTTCATGACTCATCTTCATTTCCTCCTGATAAACACACACTCTGAAAGTTATTTTATGTATCCACAGATTTCAACTATGTGTATATTGCATCCAAATTTTTTCTTCAATCCCTAACTTCTCTCCCTAGCTTCTGATCCCTATTTTTACCTGATTACCGAAGTTATAACTGACTGTCTGCTATATATATTTTAGCGTTGTTTTCTTCCGCTGTTTACCATCACAAGATACCTGTTGACATGTTCTTTTTCTTCTCTGTGGACCAAAGAAAAGGGGGGAAAGCAACTTTGGAGTGGGTAGGAAAAGTATATTACAGAAACTCACTTATTTAACTTTACTGTTCATGTAATGCCCAGGGTAAATTTTGAGGATCCACACAGGGCAGTTTATGAAGGATTATGCAGCATATTTTAGGATAATTTAGTTAATACAGTTACTGTAACAATTTGAAAATCATTTAGTCACATTAACACAGATACAATGCTTACTAACGTTATATCGTATAATTATGCATTATATTGTATAACATTCTCTTAAGTCTCAAATCTCATTGCCATCAAGCTGAAACCAATTTATAGATGAACCTCCATTGAGTTTTCTCTTGCAGATTAATGGTAAGAAGTTAGTCAACCTCAAAGCACACAGTTAAAAAACACCAGCTGCTTTTCAAGAGAAAAATGAGCAGTCTCCTCCCTGGAGATTTACAGCCTTGGAAAATTCACTGGGTGGTCATCTGTGAACAACAAATCATACAAGAAGAGAATTCTCACCTTTCTCCCACGGAATTGTCGTCAGATTCCGTCTAAAGAGCAGAAAATGGAGCATGGGGGTACAGGGTATGAATGTCTGTCTGAAAGGGCCAGAGAGAGTGAGAAGAGCACAGCCCTTCACTGCTCCAAAGCTGAAGCTTATGTTGAGCCTTATAATCTCTCTAAAGCCACATCAACAAGAGGTTCTTTTGTTCATTGTTGACTCACTGACTTTACTCAAAGTGATGGTACTGAAAATGAGGTTTATAGTGGAAATAAGTTGGAGAGTGGAGGAGGCAAAAAAAAATCACTTAATGCAAATCCAGGCTTTATCCCAAAGTCTCAAGGCACAATTCCTTTATCTGTCCAAGCTCCAGTTTTCAGTTCAGCGACAATAATTCAAGAAGCCTCTGTTTCCTCAATCATCCAGCAAGGTTTGCCTCAAAGCAGTTGTAAGTCAGCTTCTCCTTACTTATCTGGCAAGGACAGCAAAACCTTTATCAATGACCTTTATTTCAGAGCTACTCTGGTTATACTTTGCTACTATTTCTACAAGCAGTGCCACAGTCTCTCCACCACTACTAGGGTCTTGCTCTCATCAGGGTCTTACTTCAGTCTCCCTCATGTCTTGCTACTCAGTGTGGGAAGTACTTTTCTTCTTATCCATGTGCCATAGTTGTTGATGATCTGCAAGACCATGTATTTGAAGTTAAGGTAGCTGGAGACAAGACGGGGCTAAGATAATGGCTTAAAAAGCAACTTTAGGCTAACACCACTGATCTGAACTTCCAGAAATGCTTAATTTTTGTATTAGCAGCAGAATTTATTACAGACCATCTAACTAGAGCCCCATATATAATAATATATTACTACTACTAATGTAACTTATTAATATTCTTATAAGATATGCATGTAGAGAGATACAGACAGAGATTATAGAAGCTATATAAACTTGGAGCCTTGGTGGCTTACTGTAATAAGTATTTAGATGCTAAATCAAGGTTGGTGGTCCAAATCCACCAGTCATGTGCAAGAGAAAAAAAGTGAAGCAGTCTGCTACCATAAAGATTTACAACCTTAGAACTTTGGGGACATTCTCCTCTGTCCTAGAGGGTTGCTATCAGTAAGAATCGACTCCACTGTAGTAATGGGTTATATATAAACTAGAAATGGAGAGGGAGATCCAATTTAGTAAAGAAACATGTTTTGATATTTTTTTTCTTTTTTGCAATGTCAACAGCTTAAGATATTTACCTCGCAATATCCTTGGTCTCCATAACAGACAATATTTGTTTCCACAGGTTTTATTTTAAATTTTATTTTATTAATTTTAATGAACATTTACAGAGATTTTTTTTTATTTCCATTCATTCATTGCTGCACTTTTTCCCTTGCCCAGCCCTCTCCCTATGTTTCCACAGTTTTTAGGTAAAAGACTCTAATCCTTAATATTAAGAATCCTGCCCCCCTCCATCCTTTGCTTTAGCATTTATGAGTAGCATGTGTGGCATAATGTATAATAGCATATTTCACTTTGTAGCCAAAAGGTTAACTACCAACTGTCTGTTGGGAGAGAGATGGAGAAACTCTACCTATTAAGATTTATAGCTTCGGAAACTCTGCCATCCTTATTCACTGTCCAATTTTCAGATGCATAATAAGTCATGGCTTAAATCAAGGACACTTTAGTGTTTAAAACAACTCCTAAAATTTTGTAGAGGTCCTGGATTTTCCCAATGCAACATGCCTTCTGATCTCTTGACTCTTAGTACCAAGGGTGTTGATTGTAGATCCAAGGATATGATCTTTTCTCCAACTATCATGATGTTGCATATTGGCAATGGGGTGAGGATTTTTGTTCGTTTGTTTGTTTGTTTGTTTTATATTGAGATACAATCCATAATTAAAGCTGCAATCCTTGGTTTTCTGCAGCAAATGTTTCAAGTCCTCTTCACTTTCAGCAAGCAAGGTTGTGTCATCTGCAAAACGCAGATTTGTTAAAGAATCTTCTTCTGATCTTGATGCCTTACGATAAACATTTATAGACTCAGAAAACCTATCAGTAAATTCTGTTTTGTCTTAAAGGCCACTATGGTCAGACTCAGTTTGATACCATTGGATTTTTCTAGCCTATCACAAAGTTCTGTGCTCTCTTGCTAGGAACTTTCCTCTTCATTACGATGCCTTATAATAGCTTTTCCCATCAGCACTCAACCCACTTCAGCTTCCTCCTATTCTTCTCATTGGCATTTGAATACACATTAGGATTATTTAATAATCCCTGGTGTCAAAATAACATAATAGTGAGTGGCTAGTATACAAGTTTAATAGATATTTATTGTTGTTGTTGTTGTTGTTAAGTGCCATCAAATCATAGGCAACTCATAACCACCCTATGAATGAAAGACCTGAATACTTATATAACTTTCATCATTTCTCCAAGTTCATAGGGTTTCCAGGGGCAAGCTATTTCAGATGTGGATGCCACTCCTATTCCAAGCCTGTTTTAATTGGGGAGCTCCACCAAACATTGTCTACCATGGGTAACCATTATAGCATTTGACACATCAGTGTCACAGTATTCAGCATCACAGCTATTATGAGTTACCTCTGTACAGCAAATGGACAGACCAGTGCTATACGACCTAGAAGGATGTTTGACCAGAACCAATTAAAACCATGCCTGAGGGCCACAGATTAAAATCACCCACCTTTGGACTGGTAGCATCACTTTCTATCCACTAGGCCAACTGAGCTCTCTCTTTATTGTTGCTGTTAAGTGTTGTCAAGTTGAAGGCAATGCATAGTGACCCTATGAACAAAAGACCTGAACATTTATATAAACTCTATTGTTTCTCCAAGTTCATAGGGTTTCTGGAGATATTCAGTACTTTAAGTAATGTTTTCTACTTGGTGTGATGATTTCAAACTCATAAATTCAACAATTGCTAGAAGATAATGAAGGCTTGCTTTTATACCTGTAGGTTTTTAAAAAAGATCATAAAATGAAATTAAAGAACTATTTTTTAAAATTCTATATATGTGGAAGCTTAGTATTTCAGTTATCCAATGGTGATGTACAGAAATACAACAATGTGTATCTTTAACAAAATGTAATTTATTCTCTCACACTTTAGGAAGTAAGAAAACATAATTTGGGCCACAAAATCTGGAAAAGGTGTTTTCTGTCCATTTGAGAGGGAGGTCTTTGTCTTCTTTGAGCTTTTGCTTATGGTCCAGTCCTCATTTGATATAGTATCTATTTTCTACCATCTCAGCTGCTTTCTCTTATTTTGTCTTTCATATTACAAAAGAGATTGATTTAAGACACACCTTACACAAATACAGTCTAACATAACAAAGACAACTCATGCACTACTGTGATTATAATCATAGACACAGATATTAGGATTCACAACTTTTATTTTGGGGGACTCAATTCAAACAATAACAGCGTAACACTAATTTTCATAAATGTCTCAATATAATAACCTACATACTCTCTTTATATTATCTGCTAATTATTCATTGCACGGAAAGAAAATGTTTTTAACAATGTCGTGGATGCTGTAAAACAGTTTAAAAATATATGTAATCATTTATATGCAGTGAGGTCAGAAAAATTCTGTTAGTTTTAGGGAAATGACTTTTGCATAATGAAGGGCATAGAAGAAAAACATTCAGGAAGTAATATACACTTTGGAACATCAAATGTTTGCATTTTAACTGTTGTTGTTGTTATGTGCCATATTTTAACTAGAAAGGCAATTAATTCCTAAAGTCATTTCTTGAGATAATCAGCACGCTAAATACCTAGGAGATTCAATTCTGTCAGGAACTATTTTCTTCATCCAACTGGTGCAAAATACCCTAAAACAACTGTTCCATTTTGCCTATTTGATGGATTTTTTTTCAGCTATTCTTTATTGATGTTTAATGTGTACCAGTCTTTTGTAGTAAGCTTTATATTCATCATGTCACATATTCTTCCCTACAATGCTAAAAGGTAAGTATTATTACCACCATTATGCAAATGATAAAACATCCAGCTGACAAGAGTTTAGTCTAAACATAAATTATTGATCGTTTTCTTACACATTTAAATCTTTAGGTCTTACTTAGATTGTTTGCAGAATTCTTAAGTAAGACATTTCAAAAGGTCTAACGCTTAAGTTATCTCATTTTTTTCCACTTCACCTACAATAAAATTTTAGTGCCCCTTTATCTACTTTCTTTCAAAAATACATGAGTTTATCTTTTGTGTCATAAGAAGGAAAATAGTAGATAGGTCAATTAATCAAGAACAGTATAACACTATTTTGAGTGCTCATATGAACCACTGTAGAATACAACAGAGTCTGAAGTACTCAAAAGAGTTCCAGGCAGCTTTAGGGTTGAATTGTACTGAAAGAACATGAATTACAGCAGTAAAATTTTGAGATTTTTAAAGGCAATCTTTAAAATCCTTATTATCACAGGAAAACTCAATAAATGAAAAGGAATAATGCACAATGTATACTATAAAGATGGTATACCAATTGACATATTTCAACTAACAGATACTGTCATGGATGTGCTCACCAAGTTGTGCCAAGAAATCTGGACAACAACCACTTGGCCAACTGACTGGAAGAGGTCTATATTTGTTCCCATCCCAAAGAAGGGTGACCCAACTGAGTGTGGAAACTACAGAACAATATCATTGATTTCACATGCAAACAAGATTCTACTGAAGATTATCCAAAAACGACTGGAATAGTACATCAGCAGAGAACTGCCAGAAGTCCAGACTGGGTTTAGAAACGGTCGTGGTACTAGGGATATTGTAGCTGATGTTAGATGGATCTTAGCTGAAAGCAGAGGATACCAGAAGAATGTCTATCTGTGTTTCATTGATTATGCAAAGGCATTTGACAGTGAGGGTCATAACAAACTGTGGCTGACTCTGAGAAGAATGGGAATCCCAGAACATTTAATCGTGCTAATGTGAAACCTATACTTGGACCAAGAGGCAGTCGTCAAAACAGAGCAGGGCAACACTGCATGGTTCAAAATTGGGAAGGGTGTGCGTCAGGGATGTGTCCTATCTCCATATCTTTTCAACCTGTATGCAGAGAAGATTATCTGAGAGGCTGGGCTCTATGAGGAGAAGCATGGCGTTAGGATTGGTGGACGATCTATCAACAATCTGCGTTATGCAGATGACACAACCTTGCTCACTGAAACTCAGGAGGACCTCATGCACTTACTGCAGAAGGTCAAGGACTGCAGCCTTCAGTATGACTGAAGCCCAGTGTCAAGAACAAAGATTCTCACCACTGGACCAATCGGTAGCAGGATGGATGGCGAAGAGATTGAGATTGTTCACAGCTTCAGTTTGCTCCGCTCCACAGTCAACACTCTTGGCACCAGTAGCCAGGAAATAAAAAAATGTATTGCGATGGGAAAGTCTGTGGTTAGGGACTTCTCTAAAGTACTCAAGAGCAATGGTGTCTCTCTGGAGACTAAGGTCCGACTGATACAGGCCATGGTTTTTGCAATCACTTGTTATGCATCAGAGAGTTGGACTAGGGAGGACAGAAGGAGAATTGACGCCTGTGAGCTGTGGTGCTGGAGAAGAGTATTGAATGTACCATGGACTGCCAAGTAAACAAACAGATTCATCGTAGAGAGGGTTAAACCAGGCTGATCCTTGGAGGCAAGGATTCTGGGGCTTCATCTGACATACTTTGGACATGTTGTAAGGAGAGACAGGTCTTTAGAGAGGGACATCATGCTGTGTAGAGTAGAGGGACAGCGCAGGAGGGAAAGACCCTCTATGAGGGGGATTGATTCAGTGACTGGGGTACTCGGGATGGGTGTGTCAGAGGCCATGTGATTGGTACAGGATAGAGCAGGGTTTAGGGTTGTTCTACATAGGGTCGCTATGAGTCGCAAACAACTCGACGGCACATAACAACAACAATACTATAAAGACAAAATATAATCTCCAGGCTAGTTCATAAATGAGATTTTAGTAGAGGCAGTGAGAAGCAGGATAGACTAGAATCATATACTACAAAGCACCTAGTGTTTTTGACAGAATTACTGTTTATTTGATTTTAAATCATTGTTCAAAGCAGTTAACAGATTGCTGTTGGACTGAATTTCACTGAAACTTTAATGGGTGAATAATAGCAAGTCTGTGTTGTGTGAAAAACCTGAAACCACACCCAGAACAATTTCCCAGAAAGTGTACCTCCCAGACTGGAGATTTTTCTGGCGCAAGTTGTTCCCTCTCCTTTTTTGTATATATAGGAAGATTCTACCTTGTTGCTTGACTGTAAAAAGCAAGCAAGTCTGTAGTACTATTCAAAACTTTTCTAAACGATTCCAGTGAGCAGCTTCCCTGGAAGCTCTATTGTTTTACCATAGAAAACAAATTTCTGTATAGTGTAACATAATTAAAGTTTCTACATGATTGTAGGTACCAGGTGATAAGATCTGTGGTTTATTTCCTGGGTTTTATAAAACATAGTGGAAAGGTATTAGGATTATTTTTGAAAATAATTATATGACTAATAAATGCAAAAGAATAAGACACGAAATTGTATATACACTATAATTACAGCTCACATTCTTAAAAATTAATTATATAAAGAGGGCAAGAAGAACATAAAAATGCCTACTGCAATTATCTTCCAGTGGTGAAAACCAAGGGGTTTTCCTTTAATTTTTTTTGTACATGCATACTTTATATAATAGGCATGTATTTTCATAATTAAAAATTAAGCAATTATAAAGAAATAAGCCATAAAGAATCTTCTTTATATATAGACAGAAATATGGCTGCTTTCCTTTAAATAACACAAGGAAGACATGAAATTAGAAATTGGTTTGTGTTTCCTCATTGACTTTACATATAGAAGGATGTTGTTCAAGTTCCAATGTTGCAAAATAAACTCAAGGAGAGTTAAAAGGTGAAGGAGATCTCAAGTGTCTTCCTAGAAGGTCAATTGTAATGTTACTAAATTTAGGGTGGGCAATTCCAGGTAGAGTCAGAGTAAATTCTTACTTCTTAGAGAAACATTTTGTCATTAACTTCCATTATGATAGCAGAACTTTTAGCTTTTTAGAATTAGAGACAGAAATCAAAGATGTCAACAACACTAACCTGTTTATTCCATCATGCATACAAAATTTCAGCAGATAAGTATTTGGGTTTTTTTTAAATATAAATGTCACATTCAACCTAAAAATGCATTTATACAGATACAATGTTTATTTCATTCTTTTCTCTCATTTCAGGTGGTATACAACGAAGTCACAGAGCTCCAAGGACATGTCTTAATGCTTATTGTGAAGAGCAAAACCACATTTGTGGGAGCAATTAACATCCAACTCAGTAGCGTCCCTCTCAATGAAGAAAAATGGTATCCACTAGGAAACAGTATAATTTGACCATCGCTATAAATATATGCATTATTCATTAACTACTTGCATTTCTTTCACCTCTAGGCATCGTTACCACATCAACAACGTTTTTGTTTTCTAAAGTAGCATAGGGTACTAAGGACACAAAACAAAGAAATCAGAATCGATGTTTTATAGTTACCTATACTTCACCTACATTTTCAGTGTTGTCTTAGAAACCTTTCTTTTTAGGTAGAATGTCAATTACTTTTGTTATATTCAATATGTAAAATACTATAAAAATATTTAACTTCAGTAATGTTTTAAATCAAATCTGTCTGCTTTAACTGTGTGACTATAGTTAAAAGCAATACTTCTAGTATATTCCCAAGAAAGACAAATAACTAAATCTTAACAACTAATTGAAGACTTAAGTATATTTGTAATGTCTTTTTAAATTTTGAATCAGTTGTAAGTGCCTATATCCCCACTATGGAGAGCTCTGGTGGCCTAGTGGTAAGAAGCTGAGCAGCAATCCCAAAGACATGCAGTTTCAATGCACCAATTGCTTTGTAGGAGAAAAGTGAGCAATCTCCTGTGATTTACTGACTCTGAAAACCTGCTTTGGAAACTCAGCTCTGGGTCAGCTCTGACTCAAATCCACACAATAACAGCAACAACAACAAATACACCCACCTCTGGTGGCCTAGTGGATAAGGAGGTTTCATGCCACCCCAAAGGCAGGCAGTTTGAATCTACCAGCAATTTCCTCCTTCAAAGGAGAAGCTGCAGTGTGGGGGTGGCCAAGTGTGACTTCCACTTGCTTCATAATGGAGAACTGCTCCCATCAATGACATCCATAGTACTAAACAAATAGGTACATGATCAGACATACCAACCCCCATGCTCCTGTTCCTAATTTTATCAGTCGTTGTGTCCATTGCTCATTGCTAGCTGACACGTAGACTTTACTAAAAATTGTGGGGTTTATTATGAAAATAGATTAAGAAATGCAGGAGGCAAAGAATAAGATTTGGTTCAGCAGTCCCAAGCCAGATTAACAAGACAAAATTCCTCAGTTAGGGAAAGTCCAGATTCAGTTCAACAGCACAAATAAACCTCTGGTTTCCTTAATCATTAAAAAAAAAAACAAACAAAAACCCAAATTTTATTTCAGAGCATTTACAAGTTAGCTTTTCCTACAATGATCCATCAAGTAATATCATTAACTGTAGTTCCATCTCCAAGTTTCCTCTGGTTACATCTTGCCATAGTTTCTTCACAGCAGTGCCACAGTCTCTTCATAGCAGTGCCATAATTCCTTCACCCTTTTTCCATCACCATTTTTTCCACAGTGTGAAAAGCACTGTTTTATATTGGTCCCACAGACGTTGATGATTTGCAAGGCCATGTGTCCACAGTTAAGGTAGCTAGGGACTGAGTCCTCAGTGAGGGCTAACACAATGTCTTAGAAAAGGTAATATTTAAGGTTTCTGACCCACACTTTCATACAAGTTACAACTTCTGAAAACCCACTGTAGAGTCAGCTATTAGTCACTTTCAACTTGAAGGCAATGCACTTGAACTTGTTATTGTTATGTACTGTCTAGTTGCCTGCAGCACATGGCAACACTATGCACAATAGCATGGAACCTTACCCAATCCTCAACCAATCTCACTGTCTTTGACAATCTACCCCCATTACCCAAGTTACTGTGCCAATCCATCTTCACTAGGGTCTTCCTCTCCTGTGCTGTCCCTCCATCCTTTCAAGCATGATATTCTCCAGGAACCAGTCCCTCCTGGCAACCTGCCCAAAGTACGTGAGACAGAGCTTCACAATTTTTGCTCTCAAGGGACAGGTGAGTTTCATACTCTCCAGGGCAGACCTGTTTATTCTTTTGAAAGTATGTTCAATACTCTTTTCCAGCATCATAACTTAAAGACATTGATTCTTCTTCTGTAATCATTAGTCATTGTCCAGCTCTCTGATGTGTAGCAAGTAACTTCAATGAGCACAGCCTGGATCAGATGCACCTTAGTCTCTAGATTGATATTGTTCTTCTTTAGCACTCTGGAGCAGTCCTTTAAAGCAGACTTTCCCAGTGAAATTCATCTTTTGATTTCCAGACTACTGGGCCAAGAGTGTTGATTGTGGAGCTGAGCAATATGAAATTATCAACAGTCACTTTCCCATCTATCACGGTGTTGCCAATAGGCCTCGTGTTGACAATCTTTATCTTCTTGATGTTGAACTTCAGTCCACATTGAAGACTTTAGTCCTTGACCTTGTGTAGCAAACGTTTCAGGTCAAATAAGTTTAGATCAGTTTTAGCAAACAATGTTGTCATCTGCATAACAAAGGTTGTTGGTGAGTCTTCTTCCTGATGCCGCATTTCTCCTCATAGAGCCCAGCCTTATATATGTTGTCTATATATATTGAAAAAAGTATGGAGAAAGGATGCATCCCGGAAACACTCCTTTCCTGATTTTCAACCATGCTGTGTTTCCTTGCTCTGTACTGACAACTGCATCCTGGTCCAAATATGTTGTTGTTGTTGTTGTTATGTGCTGTCAAGTAGTTTGCGACACATAGCGACCCTATGTACAACAACCCTAAACCCTGCTCTATCCTGTGCCAATCGCATT